AGAGAACAGTTACCAGATTACACTGCTGTTTGAAAAGTGTTGTATGACTAATAATGCTTGGGTTGAAGTGATGCTGTTGCCACATGTAGATAAAAACATTAATAGAATTTTAGATTGCATCCTCATCCATTACAAACTTTAGGGTGAGATCTTTAATAAACTGGGGCAGCCTGGTAATGGCCCAAACTAGAGCCTCCTACAGGCTTTAAAAGCACTTGAAGATTTCTTCCCATCGCACCTAGAAACATTTCTCAACCTCATCTCCATACTATTTGTACATGAACATGTTACCACGCATCATCCTTCAAATGACTATAAAGCATATTAAAATAATGCCATAAGCCATTCTCAGAAATAAATATCCAATCTCAGATGGCTCTGTAGAAATAGCAATGAGCATGCTCTTATTTTTGACACTGTTGGCACATTTGTTGTATACTCAATAGCATATGTTTGGAAAAGGTAGTCTAGAACTTTGGAATGTGGTTTTTACCAAATGAAGTTGAGTGAGTCAATAGGAATCACAGCCATAATCTATCCCTAATAATAATAATAAGAAGCAGCATTTGTTGTTCTGATACTGGAAACCAAATACAGTATTAAAGCACCTTAAATGAATTAGTTTGGCTAATATTCATAAAAGTCCTATACGGTATATTCCACTTTTTTACTGTTTTTCAGCTGTGAAGGCTGGGTTTCAAAAACATCAAGCAGATAATTTGTAAAGTACAAAACTCAGTTGAGGTCATTCGAATCCCAAAACCCTTACACATGATGCAACATTAAAACTTCTGAATTCTATGGAGATTGGGCAGAGCACACCTAGGGATCATGTAAACTTCCTGACTCTGAATCTATCCCAACACACAGAAGAGGCTGTGATGACCACGAATTTCTGTATGGAGCTCTATGTTCCATGAGCCCTCCTAGTCTGTGGTTTCAGTTGTCTGTGAGCAGTCACTCACTGGCTGAGTTGGCTAAGAACATTCCTATAGCATCCCCAACCCCAGAGAGCTGTAGCTGAAGGTCTCCTCCCCAGCTGCATAAAGGCAATTATTTCTATATCAGCTCACTCACGTTAAACTCTCGTATGAACATAACAAACATAAAGAAGTTTGAATCACCTACAGTGCATCTGTGGAACTTGAGGAAACTTTGCCACAAGACAGAACAGACAAAGCCGACCAGCATTCCTGATTAAAAGTGATTTCTGTTTTAATTGAAATGATCACTATGAACAGCTGCTAGGTGAGTTGGGTGAGTGTGGGTGGGAGGCAACTAGGAACATCTCTGCAGCTGAGACCAGGTTCATTTATATTTATTTATTTATTTCTCCTTGGGGGGACAAAGGAAAGGCAAGTATATGTTGCAGAGTAATTTATTGAACCAATGAAAATGTCACGAAAACATTTGGATTGTGTGGGAGACAAACATGACTAGATGCTGGGCATGGCTGAATATTCAATTTCTACATAGGCAAATGGAAATTCTTCACAAAACTTAAAATAAGCAGATGAAGAATATAAGATAGACTAATCTTTCAAAAAAATCTCTAGGTGTTTAGTTAAAGAGGAAGTTGAGTTACACATTTATTTAAATTTTTTTGGCTAAAAAAATACATTAATTCTTGTCCAGTGGGACTAGGCACCCGCGAGTTTTCATCTTCATGTTCCTTAGCTTAAATGGGTAATATAAACTTAGAACTACAAATGGCCATAGAATTCATCTCATCTGACCCTCTTGTTTAATAGAAGAGCAAAATGAGGCTCTAAGAGAAAGGAAGCAATGTATCCATTTGTATAAATCCTTGGTGAAACATGGAGTAATACATATTAAATAGATTGAGCCAATGGAGATGATTTGTTCTGGATCACCATGGCGACTTCATATGTGCCATGGCCTTCTTGCTGTTTCTCAATTAATTTGCTGCTTGGGAATTATGCTGTCTCATTGTACTTATTTCCATTATTTCTTCAGTCTAAGAGACAAAGAGTGACCCCTCTAGATTAGTTATGTTTTGTTTTTTGTTTTTTCTTATGCATTTTTAGAATTTGTAGCCCTTTTCTTATTACTTAATCTTTCCAGGCAAATGGCCTTTTATTTCATTGCTTTTGGTGAAGTAGAAACACTGGAAGAATAAGCATTAAGTTGAAATTTGAATATAATAATAATTATAGTTAATAGCTGGCATTTATTGGGGGTTTA